CTCAATTATATATAACTATATATATTTTATTATTTGAATAAAACATTTATACATACTTTGTTTAAATCCATTTTTTAGTTTTGATTTTTTTTAATTATTTACTTATTAGGTTCATTAACAATCATCAATATAGCATTAAATCTTAAAATTTCAGGCATCAAAATTTTAAATCTACAAAAATTTGAATGAAAAAAACCCATCAATCTAAGGTTTACCAATACACATAAAATTGTCATTGTTCTCTCAATATTCATAATTAATATACACATTTTCATTAATATGAAATCATTTAAATAATTATCTATTTATTCACAAATATGATATTGCAATCAAGGAACATATTTTGAAATATTTAAGTGATCAATTTATAGACTTCATCAAATCAAATTAATCAATCCTAATATGATTCAAATAAAAATGAATTCATACAAGAGCAAATAAAAAATTGAGAATAGAAGATAATAAGCATATAAAATCAAAGTAAATTTGAAATTCAAATTCTAATTGTAATTGAATGAAAATCTTTAATTGATCAAGAATTTTAGCCTTCAATATCTATTAAAGGTCAAAGAACATAAAGAACATAGAGAGAATTTAGAGAAAATAAGAGAGAAAAGTGAATAATTGACCCTGTAACTATCGTTCCCATTTTGTTAAAAAAGAAGAAGAAGGTATCTTAGTTAATCTATAAGTTCTAACTTTAATCAAGCTTCATCTAATTTCCTTTGCAAAATGGTATTATGAGCTTAATGTGGACTTGATTTGAGTTAGTAATGTCCATTTTATGATATGTAGTCCAAAATACATAACCTAATAGCTTAGACATCTTTCGAGACTAACTTGGGTTTATGAAGAACAATATAAATACTTTTCTTCTTCTTATTATTAAAAGTTTAAATTGCTTAGTAGAAAAATATAATACTAAATTTAATATTTAAAAAAATAAAGAGATACAATTAAATGATATAAATAATAAAATGGACTGAAAACGAGTTATTTAACCTCTTTATTTTTACATTTTTATCAAACTAATTTATTATTTTATGTTTTCAAGATAACTTTAAATTTTATTATGCCATATATTTTGTTTTGTTTAGATAACTCCTTTTTCTTTTTTTTTAATTTTTTTATGTTGAAAACTTTTCTATTTTAGGTACTCAATTTGTTGTGTTTCATCTCATGATTAAGGTAATTAACTGTGTTCTTAATTCATATTTTTATTTTTTTAATCTCTGTTTTAAAAAGGCGAATTAAAATAGTTCAATTTGTTTGAGTGAGAATTGGTCTAATAAATTTAAACCCTAGCTTGTTGGGAACTAAATGATAATTATAAGAATTAGTTGAACCTATCCAAAACTGCAAAAAAATTAGGGTATTTTTTTATTGTTGTAATTTCAGTCAGACAATTTTAAGATTAAAAAAAACACTCATTTGACTGATTATTTTTCAATTTTGGTAATTGTATTTTTGAATTTTCCAATTTAAAAATTATATATCTAATGTGGCTCTTTCATTCAATTCACTACCGCTATTTTAATTTGAATAGAATAGCAATATTAAACGTTTTTAAAAATTAATGGACTAAATTAAATATTTGTAAAAGAGGAACAAAAATACTGTATTGAGGAATCAATTTAATTTATCCTTCCCACTTAATGTATGTATGCAATCTGTCAAAATAGATAGAAGAATGGGGTCAGAAAAGTTAAAAGAATAATCAAGTTCATGGTCAATGCTGATTCAATTTCTCTTATTGCTATAAAACAATTCATGAAACACCTAAGACCCCAACATAAACATTGAATAATGTTCATCTATCAATAACCAATTTGGTAAAATTTAGTCATATATAGACACACCTTACAAACATAATTTGAGATCAAAGTGGACATGTCATTTCATGACAGAGGAAGAATGTAACTATGCTTAAAGAACTGTGTTGCACATGCCAGGGTTCCTAACACACCAAAGGGGCTGAATTGGCTCAGCCCCTATTCCTCTACTTACCATTCTGCTTCTCCATTCATTCAGTCTATCTGTGGCCCCTGCATATCTTTTCTTACCATTTTCATCCCTATTTCCTGACCACAATGACTCAGCCAATGCAGAAGTTCTTGGCCAAATTCTTGCATCCAAAACAGTTGAATCAGATTGTTCTGACCACAGTGCTGCTTCCCCACCCAAAACCAATTTTGCTTCTTCCTCATTCAACCCATATGTTATATCGTAATTGTATACGGTTTGCCATGTCTTAAAAGGTCCACACCAAGAGCCACCATTGTCTTTGTCGTCCCCATTTTGCTGATCATATATACTGTTGTTCCCTACGAAGTCACCATGGCCACAATCCAGATAGTAGAAGTCTGAAGATGACACAATGGTGCGGTATCCCAAAGAAACTATCTTTTTAGTGTTGTTGTGTCCATTGTTCCATGTCTGCAAAATCACATGCTCCTTGGGAAGAATTGTGGATGGCACTTGGACTACTGGACTAAGTAAAACATCTTCCCAATAGACAACGGTGCGGTTGAGTGATAGAATGAAAGGGAGAGTGTTGTTGATAAACTTCTCAAGAACATGGCTCAGAGTTCCCCCATTTGATAGATATTCCTGAATTGTGGGATCAGTTTTCCAGCAACCTGGTATAATCTCGTCAGCACCTGAGTGGTAAAATGGTTCTGGGAACAATGTGGTCATGTCAAGTATGACATTCTTTAGGACTTGGTAGGTCTTGGGGTTTAGAGGGTTCAAATGACCTGTTCCTGGTTCTACAGCAAGGACATCACCGGTAGCTGGCCACCAGAACATGTTTGCACAAGCTACAATGTCAGGGTAGGCTAAAGCCCAAGATCCTGTGTGCCCTGCAGAAAAGTAGTTCTTACCAATCAGTGACCATAATTCTCAGAACTAGTATCTTGTGAAGCTAAATTCTGTGAAAGAGGAAAACAAAAGTGTGGTATAGTATCACTGCAACAACAATGTTTTAAACTTGGACACATACAAAGCCTAATTAGTTTGTTAATTTGCCATATAATTACGATTTTTAGTTTTCTATTTCTTTTGTGTGAAATTCTGACGTGAAAGATTTGACATTCTCATGGTAATCCATGGTCCTTTATGCTTCGCCAACATAGATTTCAATTTAATAATCAATGAGCATAATTTTCAAAACATCCTTTTGACAGAGAATTTAACATTCCGTGGTAAGCTCCAGCCAGAGAATGTTGAAGTTTTACCAATCTTAATTTTAATCACCATTCCTAGAGCTATCATTTTGTAGTGCTTAATTATGTTAACACTAACCAAACAGGAAAAGGGGGTTCACTTGAAATCTTTCTTATTTTGATATAGAAGAAAAACAAAACAAGATAACTAACTCCAATCCTGACGTAGTTCTTTGCTTATCACCAGAGAAATTAAGCGTCACAAATTCACAGTTGAAGTATGAATGTATTAAAATTAAACACGTCATAGACTATCTTAGAATATCTATGCAACTTTACCCCTAGATTTTGATTAATTAATTAATCTAATTGCTTGAAGTGTCAAAGATACAGAAAGAAACAGACACAGTAATTAAACACATCTAATTTTCACTAATTTAGCTTTACTCTTGAAGCTGAGATCTTTCTAATGCAACTTGAGCTCCAAATAAAGAGACGAAAACAAACCCAAAAAAAGAAAACAAGCCAAACAAACTTCAAAAGTAAAAGAAATTGAACTAACCAGGTACGTCAATCTCAGGCAGAACCCGAACCCCGTGATCGAGACCAAACTCCACAATCGTTTTAACATCCTCCGGTGTGTACACCATGTCAGAACCATAAGCACCCTTTCCTGCCAAAGCAGGTTCCGAAGGAAGCACCAATGGGAAAGATTGTGCGTCCGTCACATGCCAGTGGAACACGTTGAGTTTGTTCATGCTCATGGCTTCCAGTGTCCTCAACAAGTCCTTCACGGGGTAGTAGTTCCTCGAAGTGTCCAACATGACCCCACGATGGGCATAGAGTGGGGAATCCCACACATGCACTCCCACTGCAATACACGTGGGGAGACCCCATGCAAGCTGGGAGAATGTCTCTAGTCCTCGCATGGCACCCCATGTAGTCTTTGCAGTGAGGGTAGCTGAAGAAGGGAGGATGGAGAGGGTGTAGGACTCATCCACAGCGTGGACGAGTTCTACATCAGGGTCTTGGACGATGAGGGTGAGAGACTCTAATGGTGGGAGGTTTGTGGAGATGTTCACCCCTGGGGGGGCAAGTGGGTGGTAGTGTTCGGATCTTACGAGGTTTTGGTAGCGGGTGATGGCGGCGGAGAGGTGTTTGTTGTGGTGGGAAGTGGTGGTGGAGATGGTGAAGTTGGAGGCAATGATGATAACTTGATATGGTAGAGTCCAAGTGAGGTTTCTTGGTTTGGGCCACACGTTGAGGATGGTGGTTGACTGTGCATTGTTGACAGGGAAACATGAGCATGACAAGAGGAAGAGTAGTAAAAGGAGTGTTGGTTCTTGTTTTGTCATGGTGGTTGTGGTGATACGATTGTATTTGAAATGCTTGGTTCTAGGGCTGTGATATATGGAGTTACTGTTCTCTCTCTCTCTCTCTCTCTCTCTCTCTCTCTCTCTCTCTCTCTTTATATATATATATATATATATATATATATATATATATATATATATATATATATATATATATATTTGAAAATGAATGGAGGTGGTTTAGGAGTCAGCAAATTCATTGATTGGGGAGCTAGTTCTTTGTTTTCTGTTGTTTGTTTTCTTCTTGATTGGACTATTTGTGTGTATGATCAAATTTATGGCATATTATCTTAAAAAATCATCTGCAAGTATTTACTAAATCTTTTAAATGATTCTCAAATATTAGTGTTGATTGTGAAGCAGAAAATATATTAGTATATGAGAAGAGAAAGAAGTGGAAGAGATAGTATGATGGAAAAGAAAAGTGAGAACAGATTAAAAAATTTGAGTGATGACAATGACGATGGAGAGTTCTAATTCTTGGCCGGCGTGGAAGGCAACGTGGATATGTGCTGAATTTGGTGTTTCCGAACTCGTGTCTTCAATACTGGTCAAGGCAAAACATTGGATCTTTACTTTGTCTCCTTTCACTCTTGTATTATTCTTTAGTCTTCCCTCAAGTCATATTCATTCAACTTGGCATTCTAGAAAACTCCCCCTTATATACCATTGTTATAAGATGAAAGGCAAATGATATTTTGTGTTAAGAGAAATTGTTTAAAAGAAAAATAGTAACGCTTCTATGTTCTAAGATTATTTTTGTTTATTTCATTCTAACTAACTACTTGGATCATTAGAAACAAGTTATTTTTGGGTACAGAAAATTGTTGCCGGCCACTCTCATTGTGTTCGGATTTCGCCTGAAAATAGGACATTCAATCATTCCTGCCGGCTTAAGTATTCCATTTTCCTATTTCTAGATGCTGACGGTTGTTCATTAATTAATTAGGAACTATGAAACGTTTACTTATGCTCTTTTTTTTCATTTTTTATTATACAATTATAAAATATAATTTCTTTTTCAACCTAACTATTCTCATTTTTAAATATTTGCACAAAAAATAAAAATAAAAATAGAAAATCTTAAAGCTTAAAGCTTAAATCATTGAATTAAAAGGAATTATGATTAGTATATTTCCTACATTCTCATGTGTAGTTCAATTTGAGTAGTGTTGTCTTTAGGATCTTTATATGATTTGGTGTTTGAGCACCTAAATGTGAAAATAATTTGTCTCCATATTAATGTGGTGGAAAGAATTTATATGCAACAAGAGCGATATGTTATACCACAAAAAGCAGAGTATGTGTGTCTATTGAAAAATTTATTTAATAGGTTGAAAAATCACCTAGGAATGATATGAAATGAATTTATTGGTTAGTTATACTCATTATTAGGTATTTGATAGAGATGAAAAACTACATCAATTTACCTTGTTTTGGTTCGAAAAAATAGAATGGGAGGGGTTAATTCACTATAATTATGATGGACTATAGACTTTGATCCGTCCCATCAAAGGACGGGTTGACGAGCGGTAAAGCTAGTCTGTCACAATTTAAAAAAATAATTTATTTTTTTAAAATCAAAATTTTTAATAAATTTAATAATAAGATTATCATTTGTTTGTCAATAATTCAACGTATATAGTTTAAGTTAATAATATAAACCAATACATTATTTCAAGAAATTATAATTTAGAACAATAATAAAATTTATATAATAATAATAATAATAATAACAAATATATAAATAACATCAACACTTGTAAAATTTATATTTTTTATATTAAAAAATTTAAAATATCTATTTCTTTTTTATTTGATAAAACTTCACATTGTTTTCCTCTTGAATAATTCTTACACTTTTAATTCAAGTCATAAGGATAAGAACAATCAAGTACTTAGGACGGATAAGGAGGAGATGATGAAAAAAACAAGAAGAAGAGGAGAGAAGAGCTTGTATTTGAGTAAGAAGAATGTTTAGTTATTGAGAGTGAGATTTTTTTAATTCTCTTTTTACAATTTTTAACTTTTTATATTGTCTTTATAATTAACTATATTACAATAAAAATTTTATTTTTTATTAATTAGGTGGGTTGCGGTACTGGTAAGACGGGTTGGCGAGCTAAAGCGAGTCATCAAACTGAAAACACCAACTCACCTCATCATATTATAGCAGGCTGACAAGTCGGTCCGCCGTGTCTAGCCCGTTTTGTCATCCCTAACATCTAAGAAGGAAGTATAATAATTGGGTTTATGATAAATCATATATTTCACTACTATATTAGATGTGTTTAACGATAGTTAAAAATTGTCTACTACATCGATCATAGACATTTCGTTGATGTAGTCGTCGTTATAGGTGAGAGAATGACAACGGATTAGGATTATCGTTATATCTAAACTATACGACGATAATTATTTATAAATATCCGTCGTCATATATAACATACAACGACAGATCTTATAAAAGATCGTCGTTGTATATGTCATATACAACAACGAATTTGGTCATACCCATCATTTAATCATTGGGTCCAATATGCTTATGACATCAAGTGCCAGGTAAGCGTGGTATCAGAATTATGAACAATATGCTTACTAGTGAAATATTCCTTCTATGAACATCTTAATTAAGAATTAATTTCAATAAGTAATAATCGTCGTCGTATCTTTTTTTTTTTAAATAAACAATCTATTTTATGGTTCTATCTTATTACATGCATATTCAATCAACTCAATATAATGCAGATTTTTAACATAGTTACAATACATAAACAATTATAAATATGTAAAATAATTAATATTTAATATTAGTTTTACTAGAATCCTACAACGTCATTATAAACATCTATAATACACAAGAATAATTAGTCAATTATCCTAATACTCAACCAAAAAGTCATGATCATATACATAATATTGTTTTAACAAAAAGTTAAATATCCTAATGTGTTAATCAAGTTGATGAAATATATTGTCCATGTACGTCTAATATATTCTATAACATTTGTATCAATGGGAGATGTGTCCATACAAAACTGGAATATTTTAAATAATTTTTTATAAATATAATTATAACTAGCTTTTTTTATGTATAATAATCTTTAAAGAAATATTTGTCTTACATGATCTTAACTTCTTTATATTCTTACTTAGACATGGTTGACATCCATTACATTTCGTAATAATCGCACTCATATATTAAGTTTGTCTATTACATTGTTACTCAAAATATAGAAATTAAATTAGTTTGTTAGTAACAAAAATAAATCAAAATAAATATTTATGATTATGCCTTTAGATGCAACCACGTGGATTTTTGTGGTTTTCCACTTTGTCTACCACTCATTATGTTATATCCAACAAAAATATTAATAATATATATACTTAGTTAAAACATAATCGTAATATAATTATCTATAAAAAAACAACCAAATTTTGTTACCAATCTACTGTTTTTTTTATGGTATATAGATAATATTTTGTACAACAAACAAAACTATGCGGTTGTAGTGTCAATCACGGATATGACAAGCAATTATCAATGATGACTACACATTGAAACATATTGAAATTAGGGATGACAAAATGAGTCGGGCTCGACGGGCCGACCCACTGACCCATTGTAATATGGCAGGATGTGTTGATGTTTTTAGTCCGCCAGACCCACTACGGCTGCCCGTCAAGCTCGCCAACTCGTCGGGCTAGCCCGCAACTCTGCCTAATTAATAAAAAGTAATTTTTTTTATGGTAATACAATTAATCATAAAGACAATATATAAAGTCAAAAATTATAAAAAGAGAATTAAAAAAAGTCTCACTCTCACTCATTATAGGAAATATTTTCCTTACTCAAACACAAACTTCACTCTCCTTTTCTCCTTGTTGTTCATTATCTCCTCCTTGTTCATTCTAATTGTACTTATCCTTATGACTTGAATTAAAGGTGTAAGAATTACTCAAGGGGAGAACAATGTGAAGTTTTATGAAATAAAAAAGATATAAGTATTTGAATTTTTCAATATAAAAAATATAAATTTTACAAGTTTTGACATTATTTATATTTGTTATTATTTATTATTATTGTTCTAAATTATAATTTCTTAAAACAATGTGTTGATTTATATTATTAACTTGAAATATATATGTTGAATTATTGACAAACAAATGATATTCTTATTATTAAATTTACTCGACAAATTTGATTTAAAAAATAAATTAATTTTTTTAAATTATGACGAGTCAACCCGCCAACACGTCCTTTGGCGGGACTGGTCAAGGTCTACAGTCGATCATGACTATAGTGGATCAGCTTGCTCCGCCCCGTTTTTGGCGGACTAAAAGCAGGGCGGGCTGACCTATTTTATCATCCCTAATTGAAATTAGTTAAATTGGAATTGAGTAAATATAAATTATAAAGAGAATGTATTTCCTCATAAACATATGGTGCAAAATAAATCTTTTCTCTCGATAAGAGAGTATTTGTGATATATATTTGTGTCTTTGCTTTTTTATTATCTAATGGTTGAATGAGTTGAGGATCTAAAAATCCGTAGACCTCATTTTTTCCTTCATTCACACATAACTGGGATATATATTTATAATGAGTGGCATAATGATTAATGAATTATTTTAATAACTAAAATAGTAATAATCTTAGTTTAAATAACTTACATCATCCATAATTACATAACAAATATGTTGAACACTAGATTGTCCGAAGCAATCTCTAGCATATCGGGCATGTGTAAATATAATGGGATTTCACTCTCATTTCCAAAAATAGTAAAGTCCCATGACACCTCAACTGGATGGGTACTAATGACCTTCGTCACTAGTAGTATATTATTTCTTCTTTCTCCTATCTTTCCAATACTATTGGTACACATAAATAACATTAATATTAAAAATAATAATCAATGTAAGATTGTTATTGTTATTATGGTATCTTATATAGGTCTAATTAGATATCTAGGTCAAACAATGAAAGTTTGAAGTGTTTGTACCATAATAGCTACCTCATATGTTGGCACAGGTATAATAACAATGTCATCACGAACTTTCTCAACCATGACATTAAACAAAGGAGAAGGAAAGAGGTATACTCTGTAACATAGTGGCCCTTTCAAACATATTCCCCAATGCCACCAATCGGCAGAATCAATGTCTTCAACATAAAGCTCATAGTTCAAAGGATGGTTTGCATCCTCCCCTAATGGTACATCTAGTTCTACAACAGTTGTCTGTTAGGAAAGTCCGAGGTTCATCAATTACTGGTCAAACTACTACCACAAATTTTGTATCACAATCCTATTTAAGTTTTTTCGTCAACTCATCCCTAAGCTCCTCCCTTAATTATGCTATGAAATTATGTATATACTTCTTATTAGAGCCACTAGAGGATGAATGTGACTAACATGATGTTACTCCAAAGACAGGTTTAATCCCCATAACTACTCCAGCAGCTCAAACATGACCAGGGTGCTCAGGTTGACCAAGGGCAATTGTTAGGATATCTTACTGACCATGAGGAGTAAAAGTGCTTTAGGTACATTCCTTAAACAAAGAATCCTGCAACACAATCAAATTACAAGATATATTATATTTTTTACATAATTAATATTATAATAAATAAATAAATAAGTACTTACAATCCATTCAACTATAAGACGTGACTCCTTAAAGTATATTAGTATATTGGTCCGATTTTTTAATTCGAGTCTACTTCCACTTCTCATGACGTGAAGGTGGAGGTGGTGGTTCAAGACTAAAATCATCTAATGAAGATGCAAATCATGTTTTCTCTTTCTCCATGACCATTGCTTGTTCAAGTTTTTGATAACTCCCCACGTAATAATAATTGAGGGATCACATTATGTGTCTAAATAACCTATGTTTTCTTCCTAACAACTTGTCACTAAGTATAGATATTGTTATCCATTAGTTAATTATAATTGTAAAAATAACATTAAAAACAAAGATGTATAATTACCTATCATTTCTCATCTTATCTTGTCTTGTCCGAACAAATTCTGTCCAAGTTTCTTCATTAATCGTCGTGTATTTGATACAAGAATTTCCATTTCTCCTCGCACCAAATACATAATTTATCTTCTGTTTAGACTTAAATTGACACCATTTTTTTGTAATCGAAGAAAGAACTTTCAATCTCAATGTCCCAACATTAGGGATATCATAATGTGTCTGTGAAACAAAAACAAAGATAGTTAAAACTATATGATTAGATAAATTATAAAAGAAACAATTAATGTATATTAAATTGTTCACCAATATATCTTGTCAAATAATGTTTCTCTCAACCCCAGTTACATAATCCCAATATGAGACTAAAATAGAAAGTTTGTCACGAGACACCGAGGTAGTTACTAAAAACGCAACATTTGGCCCAAAGATGATTAATCATCATTGAACAATTTTATATTAAAAAATAAAATTGCTAGATACAATTTAATGATAGTTATAAGTATTTAAATAAAAATAAACAAAATTGATATATATTTATAAATATGTATATTCATTCATCGTAATTTTTTCTAGTCGCATGTACACCATCAACAAAATCTTCCTAATCGGTTTACATAATCATAATTAATGTGAATAAACGAATATGACAAATATCAAGATTAAATTGTTCATTCTCATGAGTAAAATCTTGTTTTTTCCATGAAGAACAACTAACAAATGTTCAAAAGTAGGATCTTTGACATAAAACACTTGTGAAAATCAACCAACGTTATTCTTGATTCATTGATCTTCACAACACTCTTATTTTCAATCCACTTACACTTAAAAACACACTGAAAACTTAGTGTAACTAACGTCTAAAATCTCCTCAATTACATTACAATACGACATTGATCCAATAATAGGATTTTGATCCTAAGAATTTGAGAACTGCTTGGTAAAAGGCTTTTGGTAAGACATAAAGTCAGACTTTTAGTAAAAGGCTTTCTATAGAGAGAAGGATTAGATTACAAAGACGTGGATGCACTCGTTGTCAGGATGGAGACGATAAGAATAGTTGTAACTCTCGCTAGCTATCAAGGGTGGCAGATGCATCAAATGGATATAAAATATGCATTTTCGCATGGTGAATTAGAAGAAAAAGTTTATGTTACACAACCACTAGGATTTGTGATTGATGGAGAAGAATAAAATGTTCTTAAATTGAAAAAGGTGTTGTATGGCTTGAAATAGGCCCCAAGAGCCTAAAACACTAAAATTGATGGTTATCTTCTATAATAAGGATTCTTGAAGTATGAAGTTGAGTATGAGATTTACTCAAAGATCGAAAGAGATGGTGTGTTAATTATTTGTTTATATATCGATGATTTGTTGATTATAGGTAATAAAATTGGTTCGATCAATGATTTTAAAAGGAGAATGCAAAATCAATTTGAGATGACCGATTTAGGGAAACTGTCATATTTTCTGGGAATGGAGAAAAAGGTTAGATTACAAAGAAGTGTATGTACCCGTTACCAGGATGAAGACAATAAATTTGTAGTTCTCGCTAACTATCAATGGTGGCAAATGCATCAAATGAATGTAAAATTTACATTTTTGCATGGCGAATTGGAGGAAGAAGTTTATGTTACACAACCACCAGGGTTTGTGATTGTTGGAGAAGAATAAAAGGTTCTTAAATTGAAAAAGGTGTTGTATTGCTTAAAATAGGCCCCGAGAGCCTGTAACACTAAAATTAATGGTTGTCTTTGACAGTAAAGATTCTTGAAGTGTGAAGTTGAGTATGAAGATTTACTCAAAGATTGAAGGAGATGATGTATTAATTATTTGCTTATATATCGATGATTTGTTGATTATAGATAGTAAAATTGCTTTGATCGATGATTTTAAAAGGAAGATACAAGATCAATTTGAGATGATCGATCTAGGGAAGCTGTCATATTTTCTAGAAATGGAATTCATCAAAGGCAAGAAAGGTATTTTAATTCACCAAAGTAAATATGCCAAAGAAATACTTAAGAAGTTTAATATGAGTGATTCTAATAAGTGATTACACCAGTCGAGACAAATTTGGAGCTTGACAAAGATGAAGATGGGAAGTCTTTAAATGCTACAATTTACATACAGATGGTTGGTTGCCTTGTAGTAGGCTGGATATTTATTTTTATGTTGGGTTGATGAACAGATTTATGGGGAAACCCAAAGCTTCTCATCTTATAGTAGCGAAAAGAATTATGAGGCATATTAAAGGGACGATTGATTTTGGTATTCTATTACCAAATGCTATATATTAAAATAGAGGAGAATTAATAGGATATTCTGATTCTAACTGGGTTGATGATAAAATTGGGTTCAGAAGTACATATGATTATGTATTCCTATTGGAAAACTCATCAATTTCATGGTGCTCGAAGTTATAATTTATTGTGACACTCCCTTCATGGTTGTTGCTTCCATAACATGTCAAACACTATGGATCGAGAGTTTGGAGAATCAAGTCCTTGGAAGACTAGGGAATACTATTACACTGAAGATTGACAATAAGTCAACCGTCAATTTAGCAAAGAATCTAATTCATAACGAGAGAAGCAAACATATCGGATTGAGATTTAATTTCATCAGAGATGAAAAAAGGAAGAAGAACTTGAAACTTTAGTATTGTGACACAAAAGAGCAACTAATAGACTTTATGATGAAACCTTTGAATAATAAAAGATTCGAAAAATTGAAAAAAAAAAACTTGAATGTTGAATCGATTGTTGAATTAGGGAGTTATGTTAAATAATAATTTAACAATTATGATATATATATATATATATATATATATATATATATTCTATACAATATATGATGTATTCAATTTTATATTAAATATAATTTACATTTAGTATTTCTTTCTCTTGTTATGGATACTCATTTTAAAACCTCTTTTTTATTAATCAAATTTTAATTTAGTTAACTAAGAACTAGAAAAAACTATATAAATGTTAAAGCCAGCAATATTTATTAAGTATAATTTGAATTGTATTGTTATTAGTAATAGTTAATTATATGAGAATAATTTTTTTTATAATTAAGTAAATATAAATTATATTAAGACAAAAAAATTATATTTCTTATAATTTATTATAAGAGAATCACATAATATTTTTTAATAGAAAAACATTGTGAAAATTAATTTTTTAATCTCTAATTTATGTTATGTAACTTGTTACGTTAAAATAGTTAGGTAATTTTTACAATAAAATATCAATGTAATGGTTTGAAAACAAATTAAAAAAAGAGGGTTGTCAAAAAGAAAATGTATCGAACGAAATCTTAATAAAATATAAATGAAGTGAATTTAATTTTTCTCGAACGAATAATTAAACTATTTTAAATATATAGAGAAAAATCGAATAATTAAAATTATAAAAATCAAAGTTACTTCTCCATTACATAAAAAAAACTGAAGAGTGCTTCGTATATTAAAAGAAAAAGTATATTTATCACAATCGAAACCGCTTGAAAAATTGGATTGATTGGGTTCATGTGTTGGATCAAAGGTGCTTTTCAAGATACTATGCTGGGATTTTTTTTTTATCTTCAATGATATTTTCTTAATAAAAATAAAATATATATATATATATATATATATATATATATATATATATATATATATATATATATGTAATTAACTATTTGTTATATAAAATAAAAATTTTGGATAAACCCTGATAGAGTTTTCTTCCACAAACGAATTCCAACTCACACGACAGAGTCCTGAAGCAGTGATGTTCCGCCATTACCAAATTCCTCAATCAGGACACGGATTATCCTAATTCAGGTACTTGCTAGCTACTTCATGGCCATTGGTTCGCATTAAGGTTTGTTTGAAGGGGATTTCACAGCCATTGATATTAGTGTTGTCCCATTTTGGAGGACCAGCAGGACGTACAAGGTTGTTCTTTTTTTTTTTCTTGTTTAAAAGATGCCAACTTTGATTTCATCTAGGTTTCTTTTGTTTGTTGGGGAGTCTCTCCATTTGAAAAGGGCTTTGACCAATTCTAGGTCTGTTTTATTTCACACTAGTGTCAAGTGTATGAGCCAGGGGGAACCTAATCATGGTTCCCTCACCCTCTCTAGCATAGGTTTTCAAACTGAAACTGAACCCGGGAACAGAAGCACTTCTAATAAGGTTAAGCCATTGGGTTCACCCTCTGAGAATATAAAGAGCAAAGGAAAGCCCTTTGACATTAATGAGAAGAAGAAGAAAGCTGTTAGAGTTGTAGAAAAACAGCAAATAGAGTCTGCCCCTTTTGCTGCAAAGTCATTTTCAGAACTTGGCCTCCCACATGTGTTGATTGAAAGGCTAGAGAAGGAGGGTTTTACTGTTCCGACTGAAGTTCAGTCTGCTGCAGTTCCCACCATTCTAAACAAGCATGATGTCATAATTCAGTCTTACACAGGTTCAGGTAAGACGCTAGTCTATCTGCTTCCTATTCTCTCGGTTGTTGGGCCACTGAGGGGGCAAGTTCCCCAAGGCAATGATGATGGTGGTGAGAATGGGAAGAAATTGGGAATTGAAGCAGTGATTGTTGCTCCTTCTAGGGAGCTTGGAATGCAGATAGTGAGGGAGTTTGAGAAGGTGCTGGGAATGAATAACAAGAGAGTGGTTCAGCAGCTTGTTGGGGGTGCCAACCGAATCAGGCAGGAAGAAGCTTTGAAGAAAAATAAACCTGCAATTGTTATTGGCACACCTGGTAGGATAGCAGAGCTAAGTTCATCTGGGAAACTTCGCACTCATGGATGTCGATATTTGGTATTAGATGAAGTTGACGAACTCTTGTCATTCAATTTCCGGGAAGACATGCACCGGATATTGGAGCATGTAGGGAGGAGATCAAGTGCAGACCCAAACTCAAGTTCTGGAAAGACTGAGCGTCAGTTAATCATGGTGTCTGCAACTGTGCCCTTTTCTGTTGTAAGGGCAGCAAGGAGCTGGGGTTGTGACCCACTTCTTGTTCAAGCCAAGAAAGTTGTCCCGCTTGAAACTCAATCTTCCCCTGAGCCTGTCAGTTTATCTCGGCCCTCGTCCAGCTTAAGTCCTAACTCAGCCATGCCATCTCAGGCAGCAGTAGAGAGTCTACCTCCTGCGCTGAAACACTATTACTGTGTAACAAGGTTGCAGCACAAAGTTGATATGTTGAGAAGGTGTATTCATGCACTGGATGCCAAATTTGTGATAGCTTTCATGAACCACACTAAACAGCTAAAGGATGTTGTCTTCAAGCTGGAGGCCCGAGGGATGAAAGCCATGGAATTACATGGGGATCTAGGGAAGCTTGCGAGGTCAACAACCCTGAAGAAATTCAAGAACGGTGAGGTGAGAGTTCTGGTGACAAATGAATTATCAGCAAGGGGTTTGGATGTAGCAGAATGTGATCTTGTGGTTAATCTGGACTTACCAACAGATTCAATTCATTATGCCCACCGAGCTGGCCGAACTGGTCGGCTTGGTAGGAATGGTACAGTGCTAACGATATGTGAAGAGCCAGAAGTGTTTGTTGTGAAGAAATTGCAGAAGCAGCTGGGAATACCAATTGCTCCATGTGATTTTTCAGAGGGGAAACTACTTGTCACTGAAGAAAAGAAAGCAGTAAGCACTTCTAGAAGTTGAGGTGTTATATTTTGCAACTTGTTTAGCCAACAATTCAGTTTTCTTATTCCATGTTTATTCTTCACATTGCTTCTTACCTATTGTACTTTTTGACAACTTATACATGAGTACACATCAGAAGCTTCCTTGTATTTTGCATTTGAAGTTGAGTATACTGATAAGTGATAAATGTGGCTTATATCTGTTTCACATAACTGCTGCTTATTAGTTCAATTAGTTATCACTCTACTGGATATTGAGTTTCTGCCTGACTGTTTATGAACAACTTAGACACAGACTACTTTGGAAAACATGATTTCTATGGAATCAGTTCTTTTTCTTTTTCCAGTTTTTATGGATCAAAAACATTTCAATAACGGAAAACTACTTCTCTAGTGAACAGAAGAAAAGTGCGCAAAATAGTAAGAATGAAAGAACAGAATTATGGAGTGTAAAAAGGTGTCGGCAGTCCTGTGATGGAAGGAGAGAATTGTGAAAAGTAGTGATGTAAGGAGTTAGTACAAAGTATGGATGGAGTAATGATATACAATAATGATAAGAGTAAAAAGAAGGTGAAGGGATTAAAAAGGGGAGGAAAATGAGTGAGCATTAAAGGAGACAAATATGCACTAGACTGGAGGACATGGAAGAAGATGGTGCAATGATAGTTAACATGCACAAAAATAGATGTAACCAAAGCGGTATTGGGTTAGTAGCTAATTTTATGCCCAAAAATGTGGAGAATGGGAAATACTGAAACTATGGACTCCTAGTCTGTAATTATAAAGGATTAAGGTTATCATTTGAACAACTTGTGTAAGCAATAGTATACAATTCAAATAACAGAACCGTTTTGCAGAAAAAAGGAATTATGCATCAGCATTAACATGTGTTGATTTACCACAAATTCTGATATTTATAATATTAATTGCTAGTAAGAATTGCTGTAACAGGAAAGGTCCAAATTCTGTTATTGAATGTATAACTACTATAGATATGTTTGGCTTTTCATTCCGAAGCATTAAACATCCATACTCCAATTACACCACACTCATGGTCCATGTATTGGCTTGGATGTGCTTTGAAATATGTGCCAAGCCAACTGAAAACCAAACACACTATATTGGTGGTTCTGAATTTATGTCCATTTTGTAATCAAAACAAATCCTTGAGTCATGAACTGACAATCTCATGGAACTCTTTGGATACACTGGTAACTGTCATCTTTGAAAGCCCCGTGACTCTGCAAAAGTATTTATTATTTTATACTGTTTTCACATTTTGACACTTGGATTGTGTTTTACTCTTCATTGGCCATGATTGAAACTTCTTTCTTGGAGGATTGATCGTGTTGTAGTCTCAATTTTGTATATCACTTATTTGCAAGGTAAAATGTTGCAGACCTAGTGATAGCATGGAAAGCAAAGTGTGGAATTTTTTATAGTTGGATATGGGAGAAGTCCAAATCCTCTTCCCAATTTCTCATTTTCTTTCCATTTACATATCTTATGGATCATAAGTTTCTTTATGAGATGCAGGTGGTTTATTTTAGCAATCTCATCCCCTAACGCTCTATTTCTCTCAAATTCTCTCTACATTCAACATGCATGTATAAGAGACAGGAAAATCTACTAAAACATAAGTTGGTTTTGATTCAAGATACTAACTATAGCAACTCGTGTCTCTTGCATAATAGGTATTTTTCAAAAGAATGACAATAAACTAAATGTTATTATTCAACATAGTATGTGACAAATTCAATAATTTTGTTAGTATAACTTTTTATCATTAAAAATGTCAAATTTTAATTAAGAAAAATTTATAATTAAAAAATTTAAAAACTAGAAAAAAAAATCATCTATATCAATTTTCAAAATATTGATTTGATTTTGTTATATTCAATCCCATATCATTATTATGTTTAATTTCAACATGTTTTTAATAAAATAAAATAAAATAAAATCTAGTAAATTTTACCTTTAACACTAGCTGCATGGTAAAAATAAGTAATTAATGTAAGAAAATGTGACATGTTATTCAACGTTATATTTTAACCTACATTTAAATTCCAAAAGAAGGATCCAAATACATATTTGCACGAAAATATTATTGTGATCCTTCTGGAAAGCATTCGAAGACGAAGAATGTTTGAGAAAAATAAAAGTTGCTTTGAGTTGGTGCATGAATTTAATACTTGCGAGAATTGCTCTTGCAGAAGAAAGGATCATGTTCATCCCTCCCTGCACGCACCCATGTGCTGTTACCATTTTTCCCTCACCAACTTCCACTTTCTTTAATTTTGATGCATATGCCTACATTCATACCCTCTAATTTTCAACTCCAATAGAAACATTCTTCTTTCTTAAACAATAAAACTAGGTCAATTCATCTTGTGCAAGAGCAACAACAATGCTGTTCTCTCTACGTGGTGCTTCTAGTCAAACTACATATAACTTGTTCATATTTTATATTCCTTTCTATTTCAATAGTTTTTAAATTTTCTTGGTCCACCACTTCTACACACCTTTGTGCTTATTTTTCTAATAAACACCATGTATGTTTCATACACAATACAACCTTAACCATAATTCTACTTTTCTTAGTAGAAAAATGAAAGTCAAATGACACATTTTTTAATTTGAGCCTTAATATTTTAATGGGCCCAAACCCCAAACAGCTTGCACATGACCCACAATCTAAGGTGTTAGGGCCTCAACTGTTATAGCATGTTCAGGGTTTTTCTTCATTTGTGGCACATGGACTTCTTAAGCTCTACGTGAATAAACTAAAATCATGTAATAACTTTTTCCCCCTAATGTTTCAATAAAAATGCAAAAATGAATGGATCAAGGTACCTCACAAGTTAATTTGATCCACTTAGAGCCTTAAAAAATATATATTAATTTTAGATAGAAAAAAGGTATTTGATTTTTTTTTCAAGTTGGAACTTTTACATGGATGGAAATCGTATTTTTTATCACATTAGATTGTATTGATTGATGGGTGAAGATGGTTATGATTGTGATATTTGTTAAGGATGATTATTGAGTGTGCGTACCCCACAAACATGATCACATAGTAGTATTAATTATAGGGAATATATAGATTCTCCAATTATTTCAACATACAACGTGCAAACTACAGAGATCTAGATCATGCCGCTAGATTTGTCTAAGGGAAGTTAATGTTTTATTTTTGTTTCGTATTAAAGTATAATAACTTTTGCTTAATGTTGAAAAATATTATATATATATAATAAAAATAAGTTAAACATGTAGATAATCTTATGAAATAATGCTTAAACAATATATTTGTCAACATAATAATGGACTAAACAATACATTTTTTTAAATTAGATATACTAATTTAATGCTCAAGACAAAAATATTCGTTTAGGAACGAGAGTATCCGACCTCGTGACGATGTTATCATAGTGGACAAAATCGTGACGGATTAGAGATCTAAAGGAGATAGTACTTCGAACATAAAAATTGATCTTAACGATATTATCATAACAGATATGAGATTGTGATAATCTCGTTCATAGACGGAACATTAACATCTACCATGAAGTCATTCGTATAATTTCACTTCACTAATACCCCTTAGTCATCTATTAGGGGTTTATATTCTAATACGTTCATGAGTCCATATCATTGAGGGTAGTTTATATACACCGTCTTCTCTTAATCCACTGAAATGTCTTTTAAGGACAAAATCATGACGGATGAGAGCTCTAAAACAATATTTCGAACATGAGAATTGAGCATAACAATACTATTATAGCGGATATGAATACCTCATACATGAAAATTGATCTTAATGATATTATCATAACAAACATGAGGTCGTGACAATCTCGTTCCTAGACAGAACATTGACGTCCACCATAAGATCAGGAGCTTAGTTTCACTCTACTAATATCCTTTCGTCATCGACTAGGAGCTTATATTTCGGTACGTTCATGAGTCTCATATCATTGAGAGATTGGTGGTAGTTTATGTACATCATCCTCTCTTAATCTACCGAAACATCTTTTAAAGATAAAATCGTGACGGACGAGACCTCAGAATGAGAATTGACCATAACAATACTATTATAGCGGACATGAAACTGAATGCTCTTGTCCCTAGATGAAAGAATAATCAAACCGAATAATAATAATATTTGTTTTTAAAAAAATTGGCTAATGTTTAAACATTTCATTCTTAGTATTAAGCATTTTAAAAAGAATTATGGTTTTATTTATAATTTGTGTTCAAATATATTATAATAATAAAATAATTTAAAAAAATGTTTTAAAAAGTGACTTTTTTTCCTGGGTGAAAAACTTTAAATTACAATGTTATGAAACGGAAATATACATAAAATAATATAAAAAACATGTATTATAACTTTATATAATAGTAAAAACTAAAAATAAAGCAGTTTTTGAGTAACTTATCAGTATTAATAAATTTATATTTATAGTAAGAAAAGAATAAATGTTATAAGTTAATTTTTACATTTAAGAAAAAATTTAAAATAATATTATATTAAACATTTTTAATAACTCCCTAAAAATAGATTTTATCAGTTTTTACTTACTTTAATCCGTTTTTCTTCAAATACTAAATAGTTTACTTGAACTAATTTTTGATTAACATTTTTAATTAGATCAACCTATTTGATTGGATATCGTCGGAACCACAATTAAACAGTGATTAGTTCTTGTTGAATAGTGATAGACACAGTCACGACGGTGTAAAAAGTCAAATGTTTCCTACAAATCTATTCTAACAAGTTACTTCATACATGTTTTGTTCTATTCGTTTTATTGGAGAAAAATAAATTAAAATTAATTTAAATACAAATTAAAAAATAAAAAGTAATTTCTACATATATATTTATATCTGTCACTTTCAATGAAAATTAATTAACCCCGTTGTTGAGTGAATTAGACAGTTAACACCGTTGTCTTCCACGATCTCCTTTCTCCTTTTTCCTTGTCGCATAAACATATACATAATTGCACATCATCA